TGTTCTTGTCATAAAGTTCTACGAATTTTTTCTGTTTCAAGAGCGCTATATACCCCCATCTTTTCCTCTCCTTCGGAAAAACTGGGCAACTCTTGGAAAAGCGATAGGAAGCTGGGGAAATCTAGACAAATGGTACGGGATGGATAAAAACTGGGGAAGGGGGGAATCATAAAAGGAGAGGAAACTCGGGGATTTGGAAAAATGTGTTTGCAAAATTCAAGGTTGATGTATCTTGCAAGATGTATTTCGCAAAAAACCATTAACGGCAGGATTTACCCCTGGAGGCACTGTTCAGACTTCGCGATGACGCGCTTTAACATGATGTAACACGCGCTCACGTGCTACTGTTGCAACCTACTGTTGCAACCCATTCTCCAATGCTATGGACGGAAACGCAGAGAAGAACTTAAATGCCAAACGAACATTTTCGGACAGCGGGCGAGCGGTCGCGTCGCGGTCATTGCACTGGGAAGCGTTATCCTCGCGATTAGGTTCACGATACACGAGACATTCGTAGGAGCGAGAACGTCATTTGTTGTAGGAAATGATCTACAGGGGGGCCAAAAAAAGTCACTTCGACCGAGTCACATATCAGCAAAGTTTTCGCTGCCCAGACAGAGGACGTGGATACGAGTACCAGGGCGGAAGATACCCAAGATGTTCCTCTATAAGCAGGAGCTGGCTCTCGCCCATCACCTTCATGTACACCAAAATATGAAGTCATCTCCAGTCGCAGCCTGACTGGAGAAGACCTTTGGAATTCATGTCACCTCCAAACAGCTTTGCGAAACTTCTAGGATGGAGGTCACCTCCACGGATGCCTACCCTGCGAGGACGAGTACTCTATCTGGATGGCGGGGGCTTGGCGCAGGACAGTTCGGGGCCGGGGAGCCCCGCGCAACGGTGCGCTCGGACGGGTCGTAGAGTCATCATTCGTTCACCGCGCTGGGGAGGTCGGCGAGAGGGGGGGGGTCAGGGGGGGGGGGGGGGTGGGAGCCGAGGGGGTATCTGAAAGGGGGAAAGACCGGATATTTTCTTCTATGGATCCCGGACTGAAGGTGTCGAGGTGGCGGGTGTACATCAAGTTGCTCGGGCGAAAAGATCCTATGCCCTACAGATTGTCGTCGCCCGAACCTTCTTGGAAACTTTGTACTGCTACAGCATTGGGTGCCACCACATGGAATCGAAGGGCATTGGAAAAACTCTCGCCCACTTGGAATGGAAGGGAGCTGAATACCTAAAGAAGATGGAATATCTAATTAGGTCACCCCTGATTAGATATCCCCTAATTAGGTGATCTGAATCCCCTCAATTACCCGGCTCGGCGGAGAGTTCAATGGGGTGGTCTAGCGGTGGCGTTGAGAAATCGGACTATCCGCCTAGATCCAGGCAGCCACATCGGCCTAGCCATAGTATTCAATATTGCTCTTCAATAGTGGCTGGAAAATATGCCGTGATCAGACTGTTTGACGCAGTGTGAACTATTGTAGCACTCGAAGTAAAATGAAGGAAAAGACTTTTTTGGCCCCCCTGAATCTACAATCGAGAGCTATGAAACCCGGAACATACTTCAAATTTGGGGATTTTATAGGACTTCCTTCTAGTTTTCTGGTAATCTCAGATGTTCCTACCACAGACACTTCTCTATCCACTTTGTTAACCCTAACGCTCAGTTTATCCTCGAATCCAAAAGAAAATTGCGATCACACCTCAACTTGTTATAGGCGCGCTCACATCACGAGGGATCTGTGCCTACAACACAAAAACATATATTCTGTTAACTCTGTGACATTCTTCAAATGCATCCATGTGGTAAACGTATCCTATTGCCACCCCCTGGCAGCTTGCCTCTAGCATTGGTGTAGTCTTGCGATGCACATGGAGGATAAAGCATATTTCGTGGCGGTAGGATCTCCTGCCTTCGAGTCCTAAGTGAATGACTGCCGCACTTATTTGGTCAGCCACTTCATCACTTTATTTGAGAGTACCCTATTAACCCTGTCGCACTAGATTCATGTCTTCGAAATTTCTATCTTTGCTCATAAAGGATTCTAAAAACTCAGAGAAAAACCCCGACATAAGGTTCCGTACGACAGGGGCTTTAGAATCCGTGTACGCTTCTTATTGAATAGCTACGTGAGTGTGTCTATGATTGTAGCTCATGTCTAAGTGACTCCATGAACGGTCTGCGAACGGAGAAAGGAACATATGTGGAACTACTCATTCACCTTCCAATAATCAAACACTGCATGTTTCAACTTCCAATTTTCATGTGAAATCTCCTCCCTCGCGCCAGATTCAACGCGACCCATGCAATGACCGCGACGCGACCGCTCGCCCGCTGTCCGAAATGTTCGTTTGGCATTTAAGTTCTTCTGAAACGCAGCCATAGAAGTGTATCGATCGGCGCCGGCAGCTAGTTCTTTGGAAGAGTAAAGATGAACAGGAGGGTACCAGCCTGTGTGATTAGGCGACGCACACACCCGCCTACTCTCCCATACTCTCTCAAAGCAGGGGCAGTCTGAGCCGATCGATACCCGCTTATGGTTGCGTTAATGTCTATAGCATTAGAACGCTGTTGCACTAATAGCGCGTCAATGCGCGTTGTCGCGAAGTCTGAACGTTGCCAAAGCGCTCAAAGATGAACCGCCCTCAAGCAAACGGCCGCGGGGCCGTGAAGAGTTATGGCCACACCTTCGTCACAAGTCACTCGTCATAAGTGCTGTAAACTCACTGCCGCCGTGCCATATCTAGTCGACTTTTCATGCTATCCAGCTCCTTATCCCTGAGTTCCGTCTGTTGGAAAAGTATTTTACTTTTCGCCATTGCATGGAAGTTTTCGATTTGGGATTCTGCAACAAAGAATCAGTAGAGAGAAGAGCATCATAAAAGAATGGGGTTCAATATCGAAGAATGGGGTTCAATATTGGTTGATTCCTTTCCTAAATGACACCCAGTTTACTTCCTTGCCCATGCACAGGTTTACGTCCTTCCCAAAACGTGATCCTGTTCAAGGATGGATTTGCTAGTAGTTCACTGGTTTATCTAATTGTCATTATCAAGATTCTGAATTGTGCACTCTTAGCGCATGGTAGTGAAATCAACGGCCCAAGGGCTCACGAGCACCTGAACGAGACCACCAAGGTGGTCTATCAGAACGAGGTCTATTAAGGGACATAGCTGCTAGTGGTGCATTTCGCCCCTCCTGGCAGCTCCCCGACTGGTTGCTACGATATCATCTGCACATACCCACTGACCTCCGATTCTCCACTTGAACGAAGGCAATCAGTACATATCTAGCCCCCTTCCGCAATTTCGACGAGCTCTCCAGTATCGATACATGTGGGGGTAAGGTAAACCGATCACTGCCAATCTTTTCTTATTGAAAGTAAAACTCACTATAATTGTCGGGGTTCAAATTGTTCATTCTCAAAATGACTTTAACTATGAAGAGAGAATTGTCGATGAGAAACTGCTGTTCTTCTTCCTCCTCCTCGCTCCATTTCCTCATTGAACTATCCATAGTCGGTCCAAAGTGCATAAAAAAGCGTTCTTCAATGAACGCTTGCACACTAGCCAGACCTGAAAGGAAATCATTTCTCACGCAGAACCACAACAATATCAAAAGCGCCCAAATGATTTGTTAGTCTTAACCCCTCATAGACGTACCCGTCACCTTATTTACATACTACCTTCCTTGTACAGATATTATGGTCTCCAATCTTGTTGTCAGAGAG